GGGTTCCTCATCTGTAGAATGGGCATGTTAATAACAGCGAAGATTGTCAGAGAAGATTAAATGAGTTAGTATTTGTAACCCACATAGACCAGTATTCTGCACCTGATAGGAGCTATGTAAGCATTTCCTGATTATTTGAAATAAACCCTGTCTGAATGGACTAAAAGAAAAAGTTGATGCCCTTTACTACTCAAAAAAGATTATAGACATGAGAATCAGGTGACCCTTTTTCCATTCTTTAGTCTGACTTCTTTCCAAGTGGCCGGTAGGTTTTCTTTCCTATCTACGTCATGAGAAGTAAGGCATTCCACAATTAGCTTTAGATGTAGTAGTGTATCTTAGCCAACGTCAGACACAGCTTTAAGCATTTTGTGTACATTATCTCATTTGACCTTCCCAGTCAATAAAACCAAATCACAGAAAAGCTAAGTTCTGTGCCCAAGCTCACATAGTTGGTTAGTGGTAGAGCCAGCATTCAGTCCTAGAAAAGCTGGCTCCCGGGATCATGAGCTTCACCGTGACAATGGGCTGCCCCCCAGAGAGCATGTTCTGCTGGGAAGAACATGCAATTTTAAACGCTCCTGATCTTCCCTTTTGCCTCTGCTATTGGTAGAAACCAGTCATTCCCCAAGCCTCAACAAGGCTCCCCAGTTCCCGATGTGATGGTGCTCCCACGGGCCACACAACCACCCAGCTTCTAACCTCTCTGAATTTTTCTTTCCACTTCTATCAAAACTAATTTATATTTGCTACATTCATAGTCAAAGTAGAGGTAAAGATAAGTCAGCAGGTCAACCGGCCTCTTGCCTCAGAGGAAACCCCATTACAGTAGCCCCTCTTATCCATGGCTTCACTTACTGTGTGGTATCTTTCTTTCTTTCTTTCTTTTTTTTAAAGATTTTATTTATTTATTCGAGAGAAAGAGAATGAATGAGAGAAAGAGAAAGAGAGCTCACGCAAGGGAAGAGGCAAAGGAAGAAAGAGAAGCAGACTCCTCTGCTGAGCAGAAAACCTGACGCAGGGCTTGATCCCAGGACAGCAAGACCATGACCTGAGCCAAAGGCAGACACTTAACCGACTAAGCCACCCAGGCGCCCATCACTTTCTGTGGATTCAGTTACCCTGGTCAACCTCTGTCTGGAAGCAGATGGTCTTCCTTCTGAGCATCATCAGGTCAGGGTAGCCTAGCACTATGTCACAGTGCCTATGTCATTCCCCTCACTTCATTTCATCACGTAGGCACTTATCATCTCATGTTGTCACAGGAAGGGTGAGTATAGCACAGTAAGTTACTTTGAGAGAGAGGGACCACATTGATATAACTTTTATTACAGCATATTGATATAATTGTTCTATTTTATTATGTTATTGTTGCTAATCTCTTACTGTGCCTAATTCATACGTTAAACTTTATCACAGGTACGTATGTATAGGAAAAAACAGTAGATGTAGAGTTTGACACCATCCAGTTTCAGGCATCCGCTAGGGGACTTGCAAGACAGGGACTGTCCTGGGCCATTATGGTAAAGTATTCCTCAGCCAATTCTGTATTTCAGCACTGCAAGTCCTTATATCCAGTTCTAACCATTATCCCAGAAGATCAACTCTGGGAAGAGGCTGATGTACAAACCAAGAGCCCAATTTACAGGGGAAGCTACTCCTGAGAGTAAAACCTATCTAGGGCATTTTCATAGGATACTAACTATGAGGTCTTGTGAGACAAAAGGGAAGACTAACTGGGTGAGATGGAGAACATCTGGATCATAGATCAAGGTATTGTGTGGTGAGGACACATTGCCAGCCAAGAAATGAGATGCTTTTAAAGAATATTTCCAATAAGTTAGTGGCATGAGTGAACTGCCCTCTATCCACTCTAGAAGTATGGGGTTCTGGGGCTTGGCAGTAGTCCTCAGGTCCAGAATAGCCACTCTCCTGCACAGGGCCGCAGACCATCTGGCCGGACTTTCCTCTCTGGCTTCTCTGAGGCTCCATGTAACCCACCACCCCTCTGTCAGAGTCCCACCATATTCACACTTGTGGCAGTGTGCCAAGTGGAATGCATGCCACGTGCACACAGCACAGTCCAGGCTTTCCTGGTGACCTGTCTTGCCCCACGGAAACTCAGGAGGTTCTCATGACTACTCAGCATGACATTAGCAAACCATCTCTTGGGTAGGGTTACATCTGAAATGACTCATCTCACATCCAGAGTGACACTATTTCTAACTTTCTGAGAAATCTCCCCATTTAGAGCTAATAGCTTCCTGATGCAGCAACTGGGGATTCAACCTTTATAAATCAAGTGATAATATGTGATTGTGGTGATTTGCCCAAGGGAGAGGAAAAGAAGGAGAAAGGACACTGTGGTTGAGTTAAACCTGTGTAGTTGCCCATGATAATTTAGTCCACTAACTTTAAAGCTTTTTACTTGCCTTGTTTTACCTGCCTTGCAACAACTAATTTGTTGTTCTCTTGTTACAAGAATGACCTTGGAATTGTTACCCTTGAGTAAGGCAGAGGTCAAGTTAACAGAATCCAAACAGATCTCATTTGAATATCTGTAAGAACTATAGCACTACATATAGGGAAAATATGAAAATAATACAGCTTAGCATATAACTGGCAATAATCTATTGGGTTCCACTCAGTTGGTGAATCAATGTGGGTGGGGTGGCAGAATTAAGTCAGATGTGAAAATTAGATATCACACCCTCACATGCAGCGTTAGTGGATTGTACGAGATCCCCTTAACTGGCATAGAGATATGGAAAGAGACTTCTAATAGTACTTATCTCCCATCATTGTGAGAAAACACATCTTACATGTTGAAATAAACTTGGAGGCCCGAGATGGAGCCACTCCAACCCCTGATACCCCTGTCAGCAAACCCCGCTTGCGTGCCCTTAAATGCTCTGCTTTACCAGAAATGCAGTGTATCCAGTCAGCCAATCTCTAAATGCCAGGCCAACTCTGGACTCTATACTTATAATTTCTTTGTTCCTTGATCTTTCTAAATCAGGTCAGATATGCAACCTTAACCAACCATGCCCTATTTTGGAGCTGGAAATTTTAATCCTCTTAAAGCTCTCACTCTTTCCCAATGTCTTATGAAGAGCATTCACTTCTTGTGAGGCACTGTATTCCCTCAATCCATGGATTGTGTTCCCTTGAAGAAAGAACATCGGACTTGTTAGTTTTGTCATTTGACAATGTCTACCAGCATAAATATTTTTATCCGAACCAAAGTCTCAGGTCTATATGCAACCTCAGCTACCCAAAAGGACAATGTCAAATTACTTGGGAGGAAATGATTTACTCCTTTATGGGTAAATGTCTGAAGAGACTTAGAATTAAGTCTAAAGATGGTCTAATAAACCAAACCCTGAGTTACTACTATTCTGAACTAAAATGCTCTGGGAATACTCCATAGCTATATAGTATTTTAAGTACCTAAAACATGTGAGAAAATTAAGATAATTTGACTTTGCTATACTTATTTGTTTCTATTTGATTTATAAGGCTTATTTAAGGTTTGTCAGTCACAAAATTGATGTACTTTAAAGAGAAAATTAAATATGTTATTATTATTATTTTTTTTTTAGTAGGCCCCATGCCCAGTGTGGAGCCCAATCCAGGGTTTGAACTCAGGACCCTGAGATTAAGACCTGAGCTGTGATCAAGTGTTGGACACTCAACTGGCCAAACCACCCATGTGACCCTAAATACATTAAGTTTATTAATAAAGTCTAAGTTTCTCAATGGAGCTTAAATAGCATAACCAAATATTAATTGAACTCCCCCTTAAAAACTGATAAAATCTGCTAAATTGTATGGATAAAATAAGGTTTATAAGTTGAACAGATTATTAAAGAATAATGTCTTTTATTACAACTTTAATAAATCAGACATTAATTTTAATAATCGAAGTGAAGTGGGGAAGCTGAAGGGACTCTGTTTTAGAAAGACTCAATCTCTGCCAGTTTTCTGCTAGGCCCCACTTACTCTTGTTCTATATATACTTAGCCTCCAAAGAAGCCAAAGAATCTGTGTTCCCACTTCAAAGCAGAAGCAAGAAAGTTCATCATTCTCTGAGTTTTGTCCTATGCCCCAAACACCTGACAACAACATTTATCAATCAACCAACCGACCAAGAAGAGCTCGATCCCATGCACGTTCCAGGACATTAGCTTTGAAAAAATCTTGGCTGATGCTGGCATCAACCCCTCCCCCAGCCTTCAGTGATTCATGAGATAACACCTGTCTGACACTTGACACTTGCCTTTGATTAGACCCTACCCTGGATTCCTAAAGGAACATGTACTCTAGACCCCTTTCCAGTGTAAACCCCTAACCTCAAGCGATGACGAGACTCAATCTCCTTTCCTTTCTGAGTCTCTCAGACACTCTATCTGCTGTTTTCTGTCATTCACGCTATTCAATAAACTCTGCTTTCACTTCTTCGGCTCGCATTGGATTTCTAACCTGGGAGAAGCCAAGGACCCTCTTAGGCTGGTCCGGTGGAAATCCCTTCTGGGTGCTCAGACCCAACCTGCCTGCATCAAAAATAATCCCAGAAAAGTCTTTTCTGCAAAACCTCACGTAACACCTATCATTACAAAATGGGCTTTGAGTCTACGGGTTCCTGGGTAGTAATCGAACTCCTATGTGAAACAAGGCATTCAAATTACTCAATAGAAAAACAGAAGATGAGAACACTCACTTTACAAATCAGGAAAACATCAATAAACATATGAAAAGCAAGGTAACCTCCCCAGCGGTTAAAGAAATACCAAGTAAAACAAGAATGACTTTGCAATGACCAAGTATCTTGTTTGTTTTGGTTTATTTTTAATGTGGGTGTCCAAGGTTAGCAAGAACTCAGGTTACCTGGGTACTTAGGCACTGAGGCCTAAGGGGAATTTGGCAGCTCATTAAAAATTTTAAAACCCACATAAATTACGTATGCCCATAGGGATGGTATTATGTATGGACCAGTATTTTTATTCTCAAAAATTTATCTTAAGGTAATAATAAAATAACAACTTACATATTTAACCTCCTTGCAGTGCTGTGGATAATTGCTAAGAACTGGAGAGAATGCAGCCAGCCAAGAATAAATAAAATGTGACATGTTAACAGAATAAAAGTGATGTGATCTAAATATGACATAAAACATATATAGCACTTTTATGCATATTAAAAGAAAAAAGTATCATATAAACACTATGACCCATTTTAAAAGGATATAAATACATAAAGAAAAGTCTGCATGTGTGGTCCAAAAAAAATTAAGACTGGTTATCTCTCAGTGGTAGAATTATGTTCATTATCATTTCCTCCTTTTATGTTTTTCATGTGTTATAATGTCTTATGACTAGCCTATATTGCTTATATAATAAGGAAAAACAATAAAACTGTGTGTATGTTTGGCTTATTTGTTCATTCGTGTCAAGGTATGATCAAAACTTAAGTTAAAAAGGGAGAAACAGATGAGAGGTCAGGACCTACAGCACAGGGAAGGTTTACTATATGTATAATTGAGCACTCACTTTGTAATCTGTCCAAAAACAACACAAACATTGCTGAAAGGGGGAAATTCACCTGACAAATGCACCTTTTCCTCAGAAAGCAACCTAAATGTGACGTTTATCCTACAAACATGACTGAAAACTTCCTCTGAGTAGGACACGGTGCTATGGGTAGAGTGCAGAAATGAAAACAAGGCCCTTGACCTCAAGGAGCTCAGAGTCTATGGAGGAAGAGCTTCAGGCATATCAATAAAACATGGCAAGCATGCAGCTGTGGGAGTGGACAGAATAGTCACCTCACAGGGGAGGGATCTGGGGAAGGCTTCCCAGAGGAGATGATGCTTAAAAAAACTCTCGAATGACTAGTGGGAATGGCTTGGGTGTAGAAGACATTGTGGGACATGCTTTTCCCTTCTAGTAATGTTGTCTAGAATAGTTTTTGATCTCCAGAATAGACTGAAAGGTGAGGTTGATTCTAATCTGATCTGCAGATCTGTCTTATGGAAATAGGACTCTTTGTCTCCCCAGGTTCCCATCAACAACCTTTCTAAAAGCAAATGAATGAAACAGAGGCAATGGAGATCCTATCATATTTGTGCATTTGCAAGCCATTTTGGTTAAATGGGAATGAGAGGAGTGCAGTGAGCTGTTAGACAATTGGATTTTTTTTAAGATTTTTTTTAAAATTTATTTTCCAGAGAGTGAGACAGCAAGAGCAGGAACACAAGCAGAGGGAGTGGGAGAAGAAAAGCAGGCTTCCTGCAGAGCAGGGAACCCGATGCAGGGCTTGATCGCAGGACCCTAGGATCATGACTTGAGCTGAAGGCAGATGCTTAATGACTGAGCCAACCAGGCCCCCAACAATTGGATTTTTTAAAGTAATCTCTATACTCAGCATGGGGTTTGAACTTACGACCCAGAGTTCAAGAGCCACATGCTCCACCAACCGAGCCAGCCAGGCACCCCCAGACAACTGGACTTTTAAAAGCCTGCTCCAAAGGCCAATTAAAATAAATGATGGGGAGGGAGGGTGGGCGTCTGAGTGGCTCAGTAGTTTAAGGGCACCACTCTTGATTTTGGCTGAGGCCACGATCTCAGGTTTGTGAAATTGAGCTCTGAGCTGGGTATAGAGACTGCTTAAGATTCTCTCTCTCCCTCCGCCCCTCTCCCACTTTCCCTTACTTAAAAAAAACCTGAGATCTTAACTTTCATTGGGAATTGGCTTAGAGAAAAGAAGAGACAGAGGGTCACCTGGGTGGCTCAGTCTTTAAGCGTTTGCCTTTGGGTCCGGACATGATCCTGGGGTCCCAGAATCGAGCCTCACATCATGCTCCCTGCTCAGCAGGGAACCTGCTTCTGCTTCTCCCACTCACCCTGCTTGTGTTCCCTCTCTCACTGTGTCTCTTTCGTCAAATAAATAAATAAAATCTTAAAAAAAAAAAAAGAAGTAGAGACAGAAATAAACACAGGTAGCAGAGGCCTCAAGGAATCAGGAATATGACTGGTTGTGTTTAAAACTATCGTTTAGCCCAAGCTTATCATGATGCTCTGCTCTGAGGACAACTCTTTGCTAACATGATCTCTCTTCACCCTCTAAATGACTCTGAGAAGCAAGATATAATTATCCTCACTGTAGTCATGGTGACGTGTGGGACACGGTCTGCGAAGAAGAGGTGTCATGAGCCCTCATGAAAGGTGGAAGTGGCCGCTTGAGCAATGGGGTGTTCCAGCCCTGAGAGGACAGTGACCCCTGTTTTTGCTCACCATCAAAGGGCAGAGTGCCATTCTGACAAACTTGACTTTGACCAGGGCTACTGTCTGCACGACTCTGAACAAGTTATGTAACCTCTCTGAGTCTGTTTCCTCTCCTCCAAAACAGGAGAAATAAATCTTCCTAAGTCTAAAGGGGATAATGTATGTAAACATATGTATGTAAACGCTTACCCCAGCAGCTGGCACATAGAAAGGGCTCAATAAATGTTTGTTCCTAGTATTATTTTCTTTTTCTCCTATCTTATTGAAGACTTTCAAACCTAGGACAGTAGGAGACTCCTACTTTGAAAGAGCTAGTGACCCGACACTAACTTTAAGGTATCCTTCTTTCCTACTGGAGGGTCAAAAAGACACCCCCACTGGCAGGTTAGAATGGGTCTGTGGTAAACATTTCCTTCGTACCTTTGTCACTTATGAACAGCTCAGTCATTCACATTTCCTTTCCCCAAATGAAAGGAAAACTGACCTGACATTGCCTTTCTGTTCCTTCCACCCCCAAACACGTATTATTAGCTATGGATGTCTCACATCCTCGGGCTACCCCACCCTGGCTCCCTGGAGCATATCAGACCTCTGAGCTTACACTGAATGAAAAGGTTGTCTACCATTTTTCACTCCCAGCAGGAGTGTTAAAAGGGAAGCCATTGAATTCTAAAACTAGAAATTGGAAACTGGAAATGTTGGGTTGAGTCTTCAAGCTTACCTAAGAACTTCATATTCAGTCAGTTTCCTGAATCTTGTCTGTTGTGGGATTTGTCAGGACTTGACATTGTATTGGAATTAGTGTCACCAGTACATTTAGCATAAACTGCCATATATGGCCCCCAGAGGGACCATAGAATGGGTCTACTCACTTTATTATAGGTTTTTCCTAGTTCCAGTTGGACACAGGGGTTCTTCTGAGAAAGCTAGTACAAGAGAGTGATATAACATAACTTGGTAGAGTAGTGAAGGTGGGGATATGAAAAGTCAATATAGGCCCCTTGCTGTCTGTCCCTACAGACAGATTTGCTTCAATCAATAACATTTATAAATAGGTACAAGGGATAGACACCTTCTTCAACAACGTGCAGGAAAGAGACCTCTGGGGAAAGTGTGGGGTAAGCCTGAGAGTTGCTGGGGTGACTGCAGGCCCTGGAGTTTCATTCCTAAACCCCAGCCTGGCACTGTAGGTAGACGTTTCCTCCTTTGAGTAGGGACCTCAGCTTGCTTTTCATGACACCACCCATTCTAGATCATTTCTAGTTAGCTTTGCAAAATAACCTGATTCATTTCATCTTAGAGGAGGAAGGCAACTGGGGACTGACTTACCCCTCTCTTTGTACTAATTAAAAACAACAACAACAACAAAAAAAAAAAACCCTAAACCCAAGGGAGTCTAGAGATGTTAAGAAACTTGCCCAATAGGGGCGCCTGGGTGGCTCAGTGGGTTGAGCTGCTGCCTTCGGCTCGGGTCATGATCTCAGAGTCCTGGGATCGAGCCCCGCATCGGGCTCTCTGCTCGGCGGGGAGCCTGCTTCCTCCTCTCTCTCTGCCTGCCTCTCTGCCTGCTTGTGATCTCTGTCTGTCAAATAAATAAATAAAATCTTTAAAAAAAAAAAAAAAAAAAGAAACTTGCCCAATATCACCCAGTCAATCAGTGGTAGACCAGAACTAGAATTTCAGGGTTCTCTTGCCCAATGCCCATCGGGGGCACAAATCTCTTCTTTAGATGCTCAGTTGGTTTTACATCACATGCTCAGGGCTGCCAGGAAATTTGGGCTTTTGTTTCTCAATTGTCAGGTCAAAGATGGTTGTAACTGCTGCATACAGATCTTTCTAAACCTACCTGGCTTGAATAAATATTAAAATAAGTTGGCAATCCTGGAAGAACCCAAAGCAAATTACAGAGGCAGGGTGGAGCAAGGAGGCTGAGGGTGAACTAGAAGTAAGATGATTGGGTGGGAGGCTGAGTTAAACCTGCCTCGGTTGGAACGTTGGTGATTAATCCACAGTGTCAACTTGGCTGCCTGCCTAACCGACTCATTCTTTAGACTTGGTTCAGCGCAGAAGGCAAAATGGAGTCTCTGATGTCAAGCAGTTCAGACACTGCAGCTAGGGGATATCGTCGGGACCCATGTCAGCTGACACCCCAGAACTAATGACAAGCAGAACAAGATGAGGTTGACAAAGACATCGAAACTGATGAAATCACTTTAAAAAGGGGAGAATTTGGGGAGCAAACTGTCAGACTCTTCGGATCTGACCCACCTATGTCTGACCACTTGAAAAAGGCAGCTGCCACCCCAGGCTTTGCCCAAGAGATCTCCAAACAGAACCAAGATCCTTTGCTGCTTCAGTGTCAGATGCAGTAAATGCTGAGAGCTGACCCAGACCAGACCTTGGCCTTATCTCAGCTGCGGGCACAGACTGACCTTGCGTTTGGTATGTTAACGTCCTGCACCCCTCTGTGGTCTCGTGGGAAAGATAGGCTAATGCTAGCACATTAAGGAGAGCAGCTACCACAGTGTCAGACCTTAGGAAGCTGGTTCTCTGGAGACTAAATAAACCAGCCCGTTGAGAGACTTAGGCTACCTGTGGTGTAGGAAACAAAGGCAGAAGGAAATATAGATAGAATGAGAAGTCCTTATAACCTGACTCCCACTGACAAATACTTGAATCAGTCAGAGTACAGTTCTCCAGGATGCTCACATCCGTCTTCATGTTAATGCCTTGCTAGAGGGAGAAACTACCTTAGTTTTGACAATAGCAAGGCCTCCAATATCCTGTGAGTCTTGTTTAGCCTAT